CGTCATCATCATCATCATCATCATCATCATCATCATCATCATCTCATCATCATCGTCATCGTCATCGTCATCGTCGTCGTCATCGTCATCGTCGTCGTCGTCGTCGTCGTCGTCATCGTCATCGTCGTCGTCGTCGTCGTCGTCGTCGTCGTCATCGTCGTCGTCGTCGTCGTCATCATCATCATCATCATCATCATCATCATCATCATCATCATCACATAAAATGACGGAAAAACAGTTATTTGAATATTATATTTCCTTCATAATAGAAGTAGTTTACCCTGAAACCATTTTTTGCATCCTATACCAATAACGCTTTTGTTCGTAAGTACAACTCTTACCTACGACATTTTCTACCCAAGGTAATATAATATTAGCCTACTTATAAATTTGAAATATGAATACAATTGTAATGTGTCTAAGAAGTATTGCGTCAAGTAGTGGGCAATACTTGATAAGAATTGAAGATTCGGATCCTTCATCGAAATTGGTTAACTGTAGGCTCACGTATATATACCAATATGAAGCGGAATCATTGTCATATACATATCGATTTCAGTATATCCTATTTTCTGGTAAAAAATATAAGATAGAAGCTAGATTTTTCTTTTAATTTCAAGTTGCGCAAAGAGATCTATTTAGCATATATTTACAGTCTTTCTAGCTTAAAAAACGCTAGAAGAGTTTCGGCATTCAGATAGTACACCATAAATACTACACTTGAAAAGGTTCATCTATCTGGAGTCGGTTTCACAAAAAAAACTTACGACTAAGATTGATCGTAAGTATACTGAGTTTGTTCATGACTTACGACTAATCTTATTCGTAAGTATTTTTGTGAAACCGACTCCAGCCATGTTTTTCCAGAAGAAACAAGTACTTTATTATGATACACTATAGTAATTTGAGAAAATTTGTTCAAATTCAAACTTTTACCTTTAAAAATTGGCAGTGTCTGCGCGTACCCGCATGCGGGTACGAATAGTCAAATTGCCATTCGTAGGCTACGCGTACCCACATCCAGTTTTATAATAAAATGCCATCGAATCGGGAATGAAACGTGAAATATATACAGAAATTATCGATAATATGGGGATTTCGTGTAGAACAAGTGAGGAGTATGAAAAATAATATTTTCAAATTTTATTTATTAGTTATTAATATAAAACATTGCAAATTAAATGCACACTCAGTCTGATTGAAAATGAAAATAATGCCCCCCCGAGTTCAATTTTCTATTTCTGTTTTCTTTTTACTTATTTTGCTATTTTTCCTTTTTTATTATTATTATCAATGTGCCACCCGCATTAAAAAAAAATGAAAATATCAGCATGAAAACTTTAAATAGTGAATATATAATGCGAAGGCATATATTATACATGTTATAGGACTACCATGACTACCTGTAAACATGAAAAAAAATTTAATACTATTATTAAATGTAAATTCAAATTTAAAGACTTAAATTTTACTGAATTTGAAAAGTGCCTATATGAGATTTAAAAATAATCTTTGAGTAAAATGTAAAACAGAAACTGAAATTTTAAAAATATATTAAACGACTAAAATTAAAGCTTGGGTGTCTATATAAAAATTAACCCGAATAATTCAGTCCCTCTCCGTGATCGACTCTCCCACTCGCGAGGAGTTATGTTTTAAATATCCAATAGGATTGTTTTGGGACATATTTCAAATGTTGCCAGTCCAAACAACAATCACAGGCCAAAGAGTCCTGATCGTGTAGGTTTTTTTGACATTTGATACATGTCCATTCGCATGATTCTCTTCTTTAGTTGATCCGAATTTTAAGTTGCTTCCACGCTTTAGAGGTAAAATATTTTTTGATGCGCTGCCCTTACCGAAAAATAAGCCCTGCGGCAAACATTTGCCGCAAGTTCGCAGCAAACATTGCCGCAAGCTTGCGGCAAACATTTGCTGCAAACTTGCCGCAACCATTTTACCATGCAAATGAAGGTTGCGGCAAGCTTGCTGCAAACAAAATTATGCAAATTAGATTTGCGGCAAGCTTGCGGCAATTGTTTGCTGCAAGCTTGCGGCAAATGTTTGTTGCAAACTTGCGGCAAACTTGCAGGAACTACACATATATTAATGTCATGTGTGTAGGCACATTCAATTTAGCTCTTTCAAATTACACAGCAACATTTTTAAAAGAATTCCTGCCTGTATACAAACAGTCATTGAAAGAATTCTTGCAAACAAAGGGGACAGGGGTCATTCTCAAATGACATCATATACCTGTAATTAAGAAATGAAAAAAGAATAAATCTTAAGTGTGTATCGGGTATAAAGCTAGGTAATAATTGCATTACAAAATTGAACTTAATTTTAATAAACATGGTACAGTACATCAATTACAAAATTCAAACTTATAATACATGTAGCTAAAGATTTTCAAACACACACATATATATAGTTGCTTACTTAATTATGTATGATGTGACATTAATTATTTTATCAAAACATGCTGTTCTATGAATTATTTGTACTTACAAAATTACATATTGATATAAATCCTTTATCATTGAACCAAAATGCCTCCTTGATCTCTTATATGTGAAATGCATTTTCCAAACACAATCAACATGACCTAGTCACAATTTCAAATTGTTAGCTTCCAGGAAGTGCCAACTAGGCATGCCCAGTCAATATTGTGTAGTTCTTGCAATGTTCTGGCAAACATATAGAATGGTCAAAGTTTTCTGCAATTTTGTGGCAAACATATAAAATGGTCAAAGTTTTCTGCAATCTTGCGGCAAACATTCTTAATTATCCTAACTTTCTGGCAATCTTACGGCAAACATTGATGTTTCTGCAAACTTGCCGCAAGCTTGCAGCAAAAAGCTGCAATGTTTGCCGGAAGTTTGCAGCTAGCGGCAAACATCTGCAAACACAATTTTCTGTGTTCCTGCAAACTTTTTGTTTGCCGCAAGCTTGCGGCAAGTCTGCTGCAAGTTTGCGGCAAACAATTCAGTTTCATAAGGGTGAAGGTTTACATTTTCGTCAAATATTTTGTTATTTATTAATGAAGCTTCTAGAAGATTATGGGCATTGGCCTTTGTTTTATCAGAAATAATGTATAAGGCCTTTTTCCTGTCGAACTTGTTGAGAATTTTTTGCCTCCGTGAATACAGGAAAAATTTATTCTGTTAAACTTTAACATGTTTAATTCCTCTTTTATTTTTGTGTTTCCAGTTCTTCTTTTCTCTGCAGCTGTAATTGACTCCGAGTTTCTTTTATACAATTTTGTAAAATTAATCGACTGATAGTTTTGAACAAATTGTTCCAATTCATGATAACTTTGAAATGTCTTCCCCACATATCACTCTCTTCCATTTTAAGAATATATATTAACTGAGAAAAACTGTTCACTTACCTATATATAAATATTTATGAAACTTCTAAGTAGTTTTAATCAATTTATTCACTAATTGCGATAATTTCCGTATATATTTCACGTTTCATTCCCGATCCGATGCCATTTTATTATAAAACCAGATGCGGGTACGCGTAGCCTACGAACGGCAATTTGGCTATTCGTACCCACATGCGGGTACGCGCAGACACTGCCTTAAAAATTTGGGATAGTTCAGAGAAAGAGACGGAAGATACTCAATGGACATTCATGACTCATGGGTCGATGAGAAACTGAAAACGTCATGGCATAAAGACGACGAAGAGATAAACAAGTTTACGAAACACTACATAGAAAACCAAAAACTGAGCAGAAAACCAACCCACCAAGTTCTGGGGGATGATCTCAAGTGCTTCGGAAGAATAAGCAGATCCTACTCCATATTTGGCACCAGTCGTTTTGCTCATTCGAGGAAAAGATCATAATTTAGGACGGGATTGTGGTTATAATAATTGAAACATATACGTCGTTATCTGTGAAAGTAATATTTCATATCGGTCTGTCGTGACTGGCGATGGCGTCGGAAAATGTGTTCAAAGGGACCATTTAGAACTCTTGGTTTAAAAACTTCCTTGCAAGTATGCAACAACCCTCTATTAAGACAAGAGTGCACACAATGAAATGTCTCGCCTGCTTTACTAACCACGATTGACTTAATGTTGACAGTCTTAAAAATAAAGGTTTCTTCAAGTATCACAGGAACTTAACATTATCATTGATCGATTACAATAAGGTCAAGATTAGATAAACGCTGGCAGACACACATGTACACCTTTCAATCTATTCATACATCAAATGTAGTTGACCTTTTGTAACTAGTATCAAGGAAACAAATCAAACCATGAAAACTGAACATTGATAAAATGAATATGAGGTCAAGATCAGATGATACATTACAGACAGATATGTACACCTATCAATCATACATTGCACCAAATATTGTTAACCTAATGATTGCTTATAGTTTTTAAGAAACAGATTTAACTAGGAAAACTAACCATTGATCAATGAACCATGAAAATGAAGTCAAGGTCAAATGAATCATAACAGACAGAAATTGTACACCAATTGACTGTCCTTCCAATCATTCCATGCACCAAATATAATTGACCGATTGCTTATCATATCTTAGAAACAGACCAAACCAGGACTCAACTTAACATTACCAACGACCATGACAATGATACCTGCCAGAAATGCCAGACATGTACACCTTACAATCATTCCATACATCAAATATAGTTTACCTTTTGCTTATAGTATTTAAAAAACAGACCAAAATACCAAAACATAACATTGACCAATGGACCATGAAAATGAGGCTAAAGTCCGATGAAACCTGTCAGATTGACATTAGGATGTACCCCTTACTATCATTCGATACACCATATACTTGATCCGCTGCGGTGCCTATAGTATCTGAGAAACAGACATAATCATCTAACTTTAACCTTTATCACTGATCCATGAAATGAGGTCGATGTTATGTGAACCCTGTCTGACGGATATGTAAACGTGACAAGAAACCCATATCCATGCCTTATGATATCATCAAGAAAACAAACAATCTGGTTATCTTTTATTTATTCAGAATTAATTAAAACAATTTCATGCAAGAAAGACTATGGCACAACAACTGAGAGGTTAATATATAATTCTTGGTTATTTGGAACTACCACGTGATAAAGCAAAAATAATATGTTTTATGAATCAATTTTATTTAACCCATAAACGTTTTATTAGATTTCATATTTACCTGCCCTTAAATTTACAAACTTTTTATTTCATATTTCGTATAAAAAAGTTAAGACTTTATGAAAGTTTTCAAAAATTATATACATGTGTACTGTGGATTCATTAGTATTCATGGGATACCAATTACCGAGGATTTCAGGGTTAAAGGTGATCCACAAATTTAAATGTACAACAAAGTACACATTTTTTTATAGGATCCCATGCAGATGCTCGCAAAACTATAAAATCAAATATCCACAAAAATACAATTTTCCCTCAATCCATAAAAATGGTACCCACAAAAATAAATTAATCATCCGTGGTATGGTGTTTCATTGCAGTAGGAATAGAAACTGACATATGTAGCTGTTTTTGTGGAAATAAAAGATTATGTCAAATATTCATACATAAGCAAATTTGTTATAAATTTTATTTCGCTGAAAACAATAAATAATAATTGTAAATTAATGCTGTTAAATTGTTTTCAAAAAAGTATCCTAAAAGACAATAATCACATTCTTTTTTTCTATCTGAGACACAATTATTTCAATTTATTTCCACAATAGCAACAGTTAATAAGTGAAAATAAAAAATAGTCCGCACACTCCATTTAAAATAAAAATATAAGAATATAATTCATATTTTTAAAGGCCTAAACAGAACTAAAATTTAAAGGAAATGATTCAATAACAAACTCCAAGGCTATATAAAATAACAATGGTTATTCCTGAAAAATGTTTCCTTATTTACAGTTTTCATATATGATATATAAAATAATAACCTCACAATTCTTCTTCTGATTTAAACATTTTGTAAATAAAGAGCTGCGCCATGAGCGCATGATACGCCCGCCGCTTTTTTCAAAGAATAAAGTTTCATAACTCCTCAATGTCATGTCAGAAATTTATAAAAAACTAAAGGGAGCTTATTTTAATAGATTTAAACCACTCACCAAAGTTTCATGAAAACTGCTCAAAGCACTTTTGAGTTATTGTCCTAAAACTGGAAAATCCCCTCTTTTTTTATGAAAAAAATCCCATAACTCAGAAAAGTAAAATCTAAAATTTATAAAAATCGAAAGGGAGCTTAGATCAATAAATATAAACAATTCACCAAAGTTTCATGCAAATTGGTTGAAGTGTTTTTGAGTTATTGTTCAACATGTTGACGACGGACAGACAGATGGACAACAGTATTCCATAATACGTCCTGTAAATGGGCGTAAAATAATTTACAATTCAATTATTCAAAAATGTGTACAAAATCAATATGATTAAACTGGCATATACAATCACATATGTTTTTGAACATCATTCTAATATCAGAGAGCCGTTTCTCCTTTTATTGTTGTGTTCAGCAAGCCTGTGTCCGGTGCTGATTCTGTAATTAGTTTTTGTACTGGTCTAAATTTTGGATGAGCTGCATCACCACACAGTCCAAGCAGCATGCACTCACTGGTGGTAATATAAGCTCCTGCTTCTCTCATTCTCTGGAAGGCAAACATCCTGAAATAAAATAAAATATTTATCATGAATGAAAGAATGAACAAAGGATTCTCCACACTTAGACATTGTTAGAGGTAATTTACTATTATAGTCTACAGAAAACAGTATGCTGAGTCCAAGTCCAGAAGCCTAGGCTTCAACTGCTATTCACATGCTTGTTGCAGAAAAAAACAATTCCAATTGTAGAATGTTGATAGACACGAGAATTAATATAAAATATAATTTTCATAAGCTCTACTGAAGGATAGTTTAATGTTTATATTAAAGATAAGGGTAATGACACTTTTTTTCGATAAATATTGGATTAAAAGGTAACAATGTCATATACTAGATTATAGGAAAATCATTCTTTGGCAAATTTAGCAAAACTTAACACTAGAAATTGATATTAGCTGAGACTACTATAACACAGTGTTATAGTAGTCTCAGATATTAGTAGGTACATTAATTTGACCAATCCCTTTCAGGAAACAACAAATAAGTGGGGAACACATTCTCCTTTTCTTAGAAATAATGCAAAATTTGGTTGAAGTAAAATTGAGAATGGAAATGGGGAATGTGTCAAAGAGACAACAACCCGACCATAGAACAGACAACAGCAGAAGGTCACCAAAAGGTCTTCAATGCAGCGAGAAATTCCCGCACCAGGAGGCGTCCTTCAGCTGGCCCCTAAACAAATATATATACTAGTTCAGTGATAATGAACGCCATACTAAACTCCAAATTGTACACAAGAAACTAAAATTAAAAATAATACAAGACTGACAAAGGCTAGAGGCTCCTGACTTGGGACAGGCGCAAAAATGCGGCGGGGTTAAACATGTTTATGAGATCTCAACCCTCCCCCTATACCTCTAGCCAATGTAGAAAAGTAAACGCATAACAATACGCACATTAAAATTCAGTTCAAGAGAAGTCCGAGTCTGATGTCAGAAGATGCAACCAAAGAAAATAAACAAAATGACAATAATACATAAATAACAACAGACTACTAGCAGTTAACTGACATGCCAGCTCCAGACTTCAATTAAACTGATTGAAAGATTATGTCTTCATCATATGAATATCAGGCACAATCCTTCCCGTTAGGGGTTTAGTATCATACCATCATAACATATATATGAGAAGAACATAACCCGTGTCATGCCAACAACTGGTTTTTAAATAAATGTGTTTAGTGCCGATACAAAGACCCTATAATGAATCAATATTAACGCCAAAATATGCAATCTTTAATGACCTGACAACAGTATCGTAACTATATCCCTTCTTAATAAGTCTATTTAAAGGTTTTGTTAGCTTCAGAGGTGAATACTGACAATTTTGTGCTTTATAAAGAATATTTCCATAAAAAATTGGATGTGAAATACCTGAACGTTTAAGAAGTCTGCATGTTGAGCTATATTTACGAATGATGTCCTTATACCGATGATAAAATTTAGTAAATGTTTTGACTAGTTTGTGACATCGAAAACCCTGGTGTAACAATTTTTCAGTAATACATAAATTTCTCTCGTTAAAATATAAAACATTGTTACATACACGAGCGAATCGTACAAGTTGAGATATATAAACACCGTAAGATGGTGACAAGGGAACGTCACCATCTAAAAATGGATGATTAACGATAGGAAATGAAAAATCATCTCTTTTATCATATATTTTAGTATTAAGCTTTCTGTTAATGATATAGATATCAAGATCGAGGAAAGGGCAGTGGTCATTGTTAGTATTAGCTTTATTTAAAGTAAGTTCAACAGGATAAATTTCTTTAGTATACACACTGAAGTCGTCATTATTGAGAGCCAAAATATCATCCAAATATCTAAAAGTATTATTAAATTTGTGTATCAGATGTTGTTTCGATGGGTCTTTGCTGATTTTTGTCATAAATTGTAACTCATAGCAATACAAACAAGGTCCGCAATAAGTGGTGCACAGTTAGTCCCCATTGGAATTCCGATAACCTGACGATATACGGAATCTCCAAAGCGAACAAAAATGTTATCTAGTAAAAATTCAAAGGCATATATGGTATCAAAGCATGTCCAATTGACAATTTTTTTTTTGTTTATTGCTACTAAAAAATGACCTAAAAGAGTTTGAACATATATATTCACATTCTGACTTTTTAAATGCCCATTTAATTAGGTGTGTGAATTTTTTCTTAATGAGAATGTGAGGCAATGTGGTATATAGGGTAGAAAAATCAAAACTTTGAACAGATTCAAAATCACCAATATATGCATGCAATTTATCAAGTACTTCCAACGAGTTCTTGACACTCCAAAAGTAATTAATTCCACTATTTTCGAAGGCCTTATTTGAACAATTTATTATCAGGTTTTTGATTGTACCAAGTGTACTGGTAAGAAGAATAGACAATTTAGTAGTGGAACAATGGCTTGAAGTACATTCATATCTAGTTAAAATTATTTCCCTTGACATAAACATAGCAAAAATTATCTCCCCTGCCATCATCACTGAACTTTGATTTATAATAAATTAATTATTTTGATATATTTCTACAAACTTTAATTTCTTTTATCTAAATGGTTTAATGTCTATGAGATCAAAATCTGATGACAAAAAAAGCTTGATTTGTTTGAATCGTTAAAAACAAATTCAGTTAATCATGCTAATGTTAATATCTTTAAAATATAAATAAGATTTTTTTTTGTAAATATGCATCTCATAAGCCCACTCAACGCTTGGTATTGATTCATTTCAGGTATATTTTAATTATGTTATAGTTTAATGTACAATCAATATGTGACACATTATAAAAATATACTGAATTATTAGTATTATTTCTGTTCTGGGGCCTTAGGTAATTGAATAAATAATAGAAAACTTTGATTTTAGTATATTTTATGCTGGGGCCGAGACCACAAGTCTTGGCTTCTACTCCTAAATTAAAAAGTGAAATAATTGGACTGTGTATCTTTTCAATGGTATGAGTAGTTCAACTACTGTACCTCAACACTAAAGGTTTTGAGTTTGAGCACTGCACTAAGTGATAGTTGTGTTTGACTCCAATCTTAATTGACTACGTGGCAAGGTGCGTTTGACTCCAATCTTAATTGACTATGTTGCAAGGTGCATTTGACTCCAATCTGAATTGACTACGTGGCAAGGTGTGTTTGATAATTGACGTGATAGATGCATTTGACTCCAATCTTAATTGTCCATGTGGCAAGGTGCGTTTAACTCCAATCTTAATTGTCCACGTGGCAAGGTGCGTTTAACTCCAATCTTAATTGTCCACGTGGCAAGGTGCGTTTAACTCCAATCTTAATTGTCCACATGGCAAGGTGCGTTTAACTCCAATCTTAATTGTCCACATGGCAAGGTGCGTTTAACTCCAATCTTAATTGACTAGGATTACCAGTTTTCCTGCCAAAGATTAGTGGTTATCTCAGGGCACTCCTGCTTCCTCCATCAATAACAGCCAGCTGCAAAATAGCTAATAGTGCTGAAGTCAAAGTTTCCATTATTTATTCATTTCATAAGAATACAAGATAACTGAAAACATTAACATGATTAAACACCTTGATTGTATTCAAGAAGATTGAATTCACAAAACTCTTAAAGAAAATAGGAAATCGGATAATCATCAAAATGAAAGAATGTTTTGACCTGGATATTAAATTTTTTTAACAATTTCTATGCTATTTCATGTATTTTGAGTAACACCATTTTCTAAAATAGATCTCAATATGACATTACATTATATTATTTTTAAGTTTTTTCTTTAATTGTCAACCTAAAAAAATAAAATTAACATGCATACCAGGCTACAGAACTTTTTATCTTGATGAATACTTAAAATTCAAGGCTTACCTTTACCCATGAAATGTACAAAAATTAGTACCTCAGGAATTATAAAGAATATTCAATGTTACGAATACCAAAGACTGCACAGTTGTATAAAATCTACAGAACAAGTACTTACCTATCTGTCATAGATCTTGATGAACAAGCATCAGCTATGATATGTACATCAAAATTTTCCTCTAATAGATCTAACACTGTGTTCTGTATGCAGACATGATTTTCTATTCCACACAACACTACTGACTTTACATCTTAAAGAAAATTTTAAAATGAAATATTTTTTAGAGATATTTCTGAATTACCACCCCTTAATCAGTGTTATTTGTGTTATTCATTGACATGTTTTCTAATAGATATTGTAAAGACACACTATTGTCTGTTGTTGTGAACTGTGTCTTGACCACCAGATGTCATTCCCTTTTTTGTGTTGTTTGCTGTCTATTTTTTGTACATATAGACATGATCATGATGATAGACAACAAATTCATTTCAAATATTAAAATACATATTTTCAGATGAATTTTTGTTTTTCTAAATGTCTCATAATATTCTGACAATCCATTTTTTACTTGAACTGCAATGCTCTTTTATCAGTATAGATTAATCATCTTACTTACAAAAACAGGATATAACCCAACATTGAAAAAAAAATCAAGGCATATATCATTTGATTAAAAATTCTTGAAATAATTGGACTGGAAACTTAAAGATAATGGAATTGAAAATGGCATAATGTTCAGTGGAGAATAGTATTACAAAATCTTCACATCACAAGCAAACCTAACATACCTATTGAATGATGTTTTTGTTAACTTTCAAAAAAAGCATTGTGCCCATGGAATCATTTCATACACGTATTTAAGAGATTATTATATAGTTAAACAGGAAATCATCTCAAAATTTTAACAACATATTCTACCTTCAGTCAGGGGTAGTACTTATACAAGTTGTTTTCATTTATCTGAAGATGTAAGTAATATTTACTTGTATAAATAAATTTGTAAGATTTTAATTTATTTTATTTTCAAGGTTTGAATTATATCACCCCTTAATTTTCTCCATACATTTACTTATACAAGTAAATTTTTTTACAACCCTTAAATTCTCATGTTTTGGGAGGTCAACACATGCCTAATCACAATTTTTCTGGTAACTGTGCAAGGCCTTCAAAATTGCTCCCTGGAGGCTTGTAAATGATCAGTATTTTGGGGATAACAGACAAATGAGATTTTCATAAATGAAACTATTCTATTACGAATAGTAAAGACAACTATTAATGACAGACAATTAAACACACTCTATTAGAACAATGTAGTCAAGAGAAATTCGAGTAGAAGAAAATAAAACTTTTTTACTTGAATAACTAAAAACAATCTGAATGTCTTATTATACATGTTATAAGGGATGTAACTCTACCTCAAAAATAATTTACCTGTACCAGTAAATAAAAAAACAACACTTGTATAAGTATTACCCCTGACTGACCTTGTTGAATGGCACAGTAATACATTAATTATACAAATTTTAAAAACTTATATGAGACAATATAAAGGATCTTTCCTTTTTATAATTATAAATCTGTGTTTTACAAAATCATCAATACAAATGTTTGTAAAAACATTTCAACGATTCACAAATATATATGAAACAGTTAACATGTATTTAGTTTATATGTTACAAAGTGGAACAATGAACAAATTGTATCCGCGTCTGGTTCATATGGTACAAATTGGTTTTGTTCATGGGTATATGAATTGAAAATGGCAAACTTTTTTGGTACAACATGGTGATTTTGTGTAGGAAATTGTTAACGTAAGAAATTACTAGCTTCCATAAACAGAACCAGTTCAAATTTGGAATTCCATTGTCCAGATTTTCTGTTATTTATATAGTTCAAGAAAAATTCATTTAAAAGCATTGGTGGGGATAAATTTTCATAGTGAATGCTGGTGATTGAGGGTGATCCACTATGAAACATCTCTCTGTGTATGGCATGGATAATATATGATGTCGTCTAAACTGTTGTTTGCCTCCATAATGATTTTCCCACTACAAGCAATTGAGGCTTTTCCATTGAATCACCTTGAATTACCAATCTAATTTGAGTTACTGGGTATTAAGCCATTTGCAACTGCTTTTTACAGTTTGTTCTAAATATGTTGTGCTGTTTCACCACTGTCCAAAGTTAGGGGAGGGTTGAGCACTCTCAAACATGTTTAACCCCGCCACATCCTTTAAGTGCCTGTCCCTAGTCAGGAGCCTGTTATTCAGTTGTTATCGTTTGTTTATGTGTATCATAAAAGTTTTTTTTTAGTAATCTGTATTCTTATAAACAAGATAAATTAGGCCGTTAGTTTTCTCATTTAAATTGTATCACATTTTGTCAAGTCAGGGCCTTTTATAGCTGACTATACAATATTGGGTTTTTTTTTATTGTTGAATGCCGTACAGTTCCACTATACTTACTGACATCTTCTTCATTTTAACTAAGGTGGGTAGTTGTCTCCTTGACAATCTTACCACAATTCCTTATTTCTATATTGTGTGTATTGTATTTCCATATTCTCACCTGGTAAAGTTTTCATATGGTCCACAACAGTTGGAACAAACATTGAAAAAGAAGTCTTTGGAAATACTTTCTCCTGGCTAACATCTATTTCAGAAACCGTTGGACCCAGTCCTGAAATGCAAAATAGAAATAGTTTATGGTTTACATACAATGCATTTAAATCACTCTGACTGAAAACAAATATTAATATTGATTCAAAATGGTGCTATTTAATTCAAGACTTTGGGTAGGCTTTTGTTCACAATTCTGTTCATGAAAAAGTCCATCAGTTTAATTGAAAAAGTGAAAAATATACATGTATAGGTATACTCATTTCCTGCCTCCTTCAACAGAAAAATAGGTAGGTAAGTTAACTAATATTTCCTTTAAAAAATGTTTTACAAATACCATGTATACTATATAATTTGTTAACTTCTATGTCATTTGATCTCTGGTGGAGACTTGTCACATTGGCAATCATAACCCATCTTCTTATTTTTATATAGCAAAATATTTCGGACTTTGACCATGTTAATAGTTCTTAACCAAAAAAAGGCTGGACTTAAGCTGTACATGTGTGTAACATGCTTAAATTAACCAAAAATATGTTAAAATAGGCAGGCAAATTTAGTTAAGGTAGGCATGCAAATTTAGTTTAGGTATGGAGGGAGGAAACAAAACTTAATTCTTTTTGGCAAAAAAAAGTTTTTCCTAATTTAAAAATTTTGCTATATTTGTTGGTTGAAGACAGAATGGGATAAGGTTTTGTACCCCCATCCCCAGGGATATGACCTGTACGAAATAGTTAGAATTCCTACTAGACTAGAATTCCACTCAAGCCGGTGCTATGGGCCATCTTAAACTTGTAGTGAGTTGAGAGTTATTTTGTTCCGTGTTGAAGGTCTCACTGTGACTTTGAGATGAAAAACAGCAATAAAAGGGTTGTTCCTTTGCTTTTTGTGTCTTTTTTTTTTGCTGTGCATGTACTGATTTTGTGTTATGGATGGATACCCCATATCCTTTGTTTTTTCTATTATAGCAGGAATCAACCTGTAATTAGCAGGCAATCTTAAATTCCAGTTAATTGTTAGACATGTTAGAGGTACTAGGAAAAATTTCATTGATTTTTTCATTTACCTACAACAAAATTTCTAGTATGGATAAACAGAATATTTTTTTCCCGCCAGAAAATCTTTCCACCAGGATTTTTTTTCTTATTTAAGCAGGATTCTTATCTTGAATGATATTGATTTGCATTCCATTATCTTTAACTGGATTCGGCTTTGCTAATAACATTTTTTTTGCTGTGTTATAAGCATTCAGGTTCCAGTTTACAAATTAAAAAGTTGGAGGGCAAAAGATTCAGATTGTGTATTTATAATGCTGCAAAGATTTAATAATTACCAGGGAAATATTTGAATGTAAGAAAGGATTGCTTATGAAGGTGAAGTATAATATATATAATGCTAAAATAAAATAAAATCACTTAGTCAAGTGATTTATTTGTACTTCTTAAATAGGTGATTATTAAAGAAAGACTACTCTTACTTGCAACATTTCTGGACAAAATGTTACTTGAACATGTTGAATAAGTGATTTAAGAAATTACTCATTAGTAATTCCAACTGACTGCTGTTACAATATCGGAATAAAATGCATGACTGACACAAAAGTGTTAATGGTAAATACAATGAAATAATATATATCAACTCTCCCATTTGTTGAATCTTCTTTGAAAAAAAAAACCAGTCACATATGTTTTAGGTCCAGAAGTTTTCATTAAAAACAACTTAACAGGAAAAGTGGGATACACAGTTAAAGATAGACCATGTATCTTCTGCCATCTAGGATATTCCTAAATAAAATACATACATGTATATAAATATTTGGAGAGGAATTTAATTCATTTGTAAGTATACTCATATTAATGAAACAAGAGGCTGTCAGAGTGACAGCAAACTGGATTTTCCTGCAGAGGTCAAACACTACACAGTTGAGCAAGTATGGACACAACATTTAAGCTTATAACAGCTCTGAATTTGGATTGTGATTGAATATTTGACACAGCATAGGTTTGTGACCCAAAATGAATGTAGTCAAAGAACTGAAAAATTTGAAATTAGACATCTACCTATTATGGCTCAATATTCAAAATCTAAGTATAGTGTAAGAATTAGCATATCAAAGAACCCTTAAGAATTAAATTTTTTATGAAATACTCATTTCTGTTTAAAGGGAAATAACTCAAAATTCATATAATAACTCAAATTCATATAATTAATAATCATAATAAACAACCAGTGATGACTAAATACTTTAAAATTAGATATGATGCAATCACTAAAATATTGTTAGAATCAGCATATCAAAGAACCCCAATTTTTGATGAAATTAAACAAAAGTTTAATTTAGGACCCTTTGGACCTCAATGTGATATTATCTAATTAATAATGAAAATAAATACAGGTTTAGATTCAGCATTTCAAAGAACCCTATATATTTTCAATCTATGTTGAAATCAAACACAGTTTAATTGTGGACCCCATTTGGACCAATTTGAAAACTGGGCCCAAAGTCATAAATCTAAATATATGTTTATTAATAGACAATAAAAGCTTAGTTTTTAAAGAAGTTTACTTCAACAAATAAATATATAAAGCATTCAGAAAATTAGTTTTTACAGAATAACAAACAAACCTACCACAAAATTCTTCAAACAATTTACCAAAGAAAAGAAAAAATATATATAGCATTCAGAAAATTAGTTTTTACATAACAAACAAACCTACCACAAAAATCTTCAAACAATTTACCAAAGAAAAGAAAAAAAAATCAAAATTTTATTTATCATTTATACAATGCTCTTTCTTTAATTGTTTGTGATGAAAAATTAGGCTTTATTTGCTTTAAGGGAGGTTTATTGAATACGGGTGTTTCATTTTTATAAAGGAATGTGAAAGGGATTTACCAATTTTTTTTAAGGTATGAATACTAGTTCTGTGACCCCAATTTTTCTGAAAACAAATTTTACAATTATCATGATTATAACAATAAATAATCTTCTCATATTTTATCATCTGAAGCGGGCTGAACTTGCGAGGGGGGTTTGGGGGCATCCCCCCCCCCCCCCCCAAGAAAATTTTGAAATTTTAAACTAAAAATCCTGCATTCTGAGCATACCTGGAGGTGATTTAGATGCTTGGGAAAAAGTAAGTTTTGTCTTATTTTTGTTGTTGACTTCAATCAAATTTAATAAAAAATGTCATTTACAAAATGGGAATCTTAATTCATGCCCTGTGTACCAGTTTTTTTTTTTTACATATCTTTTTCTATTAGACAACTAAAGAATTCTCTGTCCTCGAATACATGTAGATGATAGATGAAATATTTAATTTTATTTCTATAATAATCTAATTTATTAAATATCTTGGTCGATTTATTTTGCGTAACTACGTACATTTGTAAACAAATGACCCCCCTTTTTTCTCAAAAGACTTGTACACGTATTTCAAAAGCATTGCCATAAAATTGATATCTCCTCTGATTTTCTCTTTTTTGTGACTCCTGTTCAGTATTAAGTAGGAAACTAAAATCATTTTGAACTAATGTTATTTATTTGCAATTGTGGTCAACAATATTCTACTTTTGTTTTTGACCCTTCATTCTCTGGATACCAGCAGAGGAGGGACGACACTCTGCACACGGCACACAGATTTGTCTTATAGTATTAATCGGTCGCAGCAGTATTGTGTCATTTATATCAAAATAGTCGTGGTGAACTGACACCTGGACAAGCGAAATTGGTTGAATCAATTAAAAAACAAGTAATATACAGAAGGGCTGATTATACAATATACATATACATACATGATCATACATAATAAACAAATTTGTTTAAATAGTTATTTCTTTGAAGTAAAGATATTTCTATCCAAACTGACTGTTTATTACCAAGGGCTAATTTCAGACATCGTTGATCACTCATATTTTAATTTATTCAGTCAGTTTAAAGTTTTTAATCTGGACAAAAGTTTGTAAAATACTAAATTTTAAATATTGCATTATCATGATTATTTCGTCATTTGTCAGTAAACAAAACAGTGATTACAGTAGAGAGCAGACTTGGGGTCAATTACATTGAAATATAATTAATTAAATTACACATTACATTGCAAAAATGATCAATTACACTAATTACACATTTTTTAAAATGTAATTAATTAAATTACAATTACTTTACTAAAGTAATTAATTTTAAAAATTACAAATTACATTTCATCATAACTTTTTTTAAACAATATATACCATGTAGATATATAGTATGTGTAAAATATTCATGTAAGCTTACAACATAGTTTTAGCATTGCATTTGATCATCATTAGTATTTTTGATGTTTTGTCATTTAGTCTGCATCTCTCTGGTCTGAACACTTTGTTTCGACAGGAGTTGCTTTTATAAAACACATTTCTTAAAATTTGAGATCTTTTAATAGCAACCAAGGTTTTCTCCAAAATTAATGAGCTGGATTTTACAAGCTATTATATATGCACATCTACATATTTTTCATCTGGTCTGAACACTTTGTTTCAACAGGAGCTGATGTGGCAGGTATTGCTTGATCATAATGTGTTGATGAAAGAGGGAATGTGTTCCTATTCACCTGCCAATACATTAAGGGGTATTTGACAACTCAAAAATGAAGCCATTTAATTAAATTAATTAAACATAATATAAATAAATAAATTATAAATAAATTAAAAATTTGTCTTTGTTTTTTTACTTTATAATTATTCAAAAGTATGCTTGTCATTAGATTGAAAATAATTTTTAGTACAAACAATGCATAATGTCTAAATACTAGCAATATTTTGCTAATTAGATAACATACATGTACTAGTGGCATTGTCCCTATGCTGTTTTATTACACATTTAGTCTGATTAATTGCCATTTGTTTTTACAGCTGATAATTATTATTTCTATAATCCTTTTGTGTATACTAATTTGACAAAATGATTGTGTGCAGTGATTTAAAATTCTAAATGAAAAGTCTAAGAAAGATTTACACATTTGCTTAACCATACATACATGTATTGATGGTATGTATATACATGTTATCAATCTATTTAGATAAAGCTTTAAGATCTTTCTTAAAAACTGAACAACACCAATATATGATTCTCACATATTTTAAGTTATAAAGACTATTTAGCAAACATTTCTGCATGTCAAATAAATAAGAGTTTATATGCCTAAAATAACATATGTACTCACGAATTTGACAAATATTTAGAAAATTTTACTTACCAGAAATCATATTTTAGCGACTTATTACGAAGTAACGGCTGGAGACTTAAGGAGACTTAACAAGATTTAGAATGTTCGAATAGTGTTCTTTAATTGACAAAAATTTGAATGATTTTCACGTGCTGACATTTGTAAAATTAACAAAAATCTGTGCCTGGTGATTTCGCAGAGATGGGATAAAATTTCCCACCATTACAGTGCATTTCTTTATTGATAAAATTTACTTTAAAAGGTAAAAAAAAATACAGAAAATATTTCATATAAAGTGATCTTTTATCATTGATTCATCTTTATATATCAAAACTTTCTATATTTTCTGCTAGTGCAAGAGAGTATAATTGATATAAAAATATGAACAAATCGATCTTTTACCAGATTCAAAATTGCTGAGGGACGCTAAAATCATACCACGTGACCTAAAAGTTTTTGCACACAGCACCTAAGGCTGTCGTCCCTCCTCTAGGACACCAGGTTGGCTTTGAAAAGGGAACTACAAAAGGTACTGTTTTCCAGATTCTTAACAACATTATATATTATACTTTCTTTTATTTGACTGATATTATTTCATAACATGCTACATTGTATTGTCATCTTCTCTGACTTTCTTCGCTTTCTTGAAGCCAAAACCAAACAGGGTGTTTGATCGCTTCATATTGTTAATGACCATCGGAATATCTCTCTTGTTATCCCTGCAAACGTACTATACATTCCGACTTTAAATACACGACCAATCAGTGACCTGAATTCATGTGAACTATATTTAGTCAAATGTAAACACTGATTTTACATCCTTGTTTATCGCGACTGCGACTTTGCGACAATACGACTCTCGACACTTGCCTGTATACATTTTAAAAATCTTTTTGAATTTATATTTTTGTCAGTGAAGTAGCTGGCACTTGGAGCCACAGTAAACGGCGGATTTCCATTAGTCAAGTACTTTTTTTAATTCACCACCTGGGCTACCACAACTGAATAAAAAGATCGCCCAGGTCAATTTCTGGTCGCCATGGGCGACTGTTAATTTTTTTTCCGTGTCGGACTGAAACATGCACCCAAAACAACATACTGGATGTGTAGAAACTGCCATTGTAAATAAAAAATTAAAAAAAAAAATGTATGAAATATTGTAAAATTCAAATAAAAGTATTCAAGTTTTATCTTAATACATATTACTAGTCCCAGCATACATTAAATGCATTCATGTAACAATAAGACAACGTAACCGTACCAAAATTTTTTGTAATTAGTAGGTTCCTTTCCCATCCCTGCATTCAAGAAATTAGTCACCAATGTCACAATAACTTTTTTAAATTATTGTTACATTTCAATGTAACCGTAGACAGTCCCTTTTTCAAATCACATATAAATATATTTTAGAAAATAAAGACTGATTTGTGAATGTCAAATTTGTCAGTCCACAAGTAATTTTAATTTGTATTGAATTTGTAACACAGATCAGGAAAAATAAAAATGATCTTCATGCAAATACTTAAATTTCCTAGTACAGTTTAAAACCAAATTAAATTTCTAATGTTAGTAAAAATATGACATGAACTAGATATTGACCTTTAGGATATTGTTCAGTGACAACAACCGGCATTTCCAGAACTTTAGCGCCTTGTAGCATTCTATTAGCTACAGAGATGATTTGTGGGTAATAAACAATATTTCCCCTAAATTTTTCCTGCATGTCACACAAGAATAACGCCGTGTTCTTTAAATTAATCTTTCCTAGTCTTCTTGCCATGGTTAGTTTGCAATGATAGTTATTTCCCTTGTAACAGGTGTGCGATTTTATTTCGCACGCCTCATTTCACAGTTTAACGCCATTTGGTTACTTTAGCCTTGTTTTAAAATTGATAATACCAATTTTCAAAAAGATTTTATAAAATTTTTTACTTACAATATTACTATTTAGAGGACGAAAAAAGTTCGAAACTGACACATAGAATTAAAGATGTCTGCGCCCTGCAAAGCAATGTCAAAATGTGAAATGTTAGAAATTCTTAAACTCTGCCAAGAGATGTTCTTTTCATAATTCCCATCTTACATATAAGATCACAATACAAACAACGTTAATTCAAGGTAAATCTTTTTTGCTGTCAAGATGAGGAAGTTACAATATTTATCAACAAAAATAATCAGAATTAAGGGAAACAACTCGTTCTACTTTCGTTTTCATTTTGAAGGGTCTTCAACAATGCATAAAAAATTACACACATGGTACACAATTGTATCTCAGTTTCATGATTATACGAGCGTGCTGTATTTTTGTGAAATCAATATTCTAAATCATTGTAATATCATTAATATTATGAGGCAGCTGTTACCTGTGAAAGTAGTCCAAATAATAATGAAGTCTTGAAAGGCTATTTTATTTTTTTGCTTCCTGTCGCAGGAAGGCGTCAAAGCAAAAAAATAAAATAGCCTTTCAAGACGTCATAATTATTTGTACTACTGTGAAAGAGGACAGAGTCTATTTAAATTTAGCAGCGGAAGAGCTACTGTTCCGCAGCTAATTTAAATTATAAACTACAGCATAATAATTTTGATTCTTATTACTTAACCTATCAATTATTTTTTTACATTTTACAAATGATTAAGTACCAAAACAAATCAATACCAGTTAAAATAATTAGGCACTTTGGACATTTTGGAGTGACACTGATGATGACTCAGAGGGCTGAACAATATAAATCCAAAATTTGTTTTACCAAATCGCAAAATAAAAACCAAAATTCGCAGCACAATTTCACTTGAAATAAGTCATGGAATTACAAAACCAACCAATATTGGTTCTTCTGTTAGGAATTTTATTTATAATAGCATTTCAATGTAAACATAGAAATGCTATCTTACATTTTTAGGTAAAGTTTGTTTTGTATTGAAATGTTTTTAATTAGAAAAATGCCTATTTAACCTTAAAACGCAAAAATACTTAGTCAGCTTATTATTAATCTGTCTGAGTTTACCAAAGAACTCATTTTGTTTGCCATAAAATTATATATTGAATCAGCACTTCACTCATTTTTAGGACCCAAACTAACACAGAAAAATATTTGTCCTAATAACACTGAATATTATTGTCCTTTAATTCTTATTGGTAATCAGGCATTGGAATTTATCGGAAACCGTATGATTTACAATATTATTTATGGCAGCCTCTGTCAACAGAAACAGTGTATTATTTGTGCAAACTTGTGCAACTGTTGCAAAAAAGTAAACGGTTACCATGGTTATGGATTCATAACCAGATAACCTTCTGAAGCAGTTTAGTTTCGCATTTTGGCCATGGTGAATTTTTTGAATATGAAAGTTTTTGTGCATTGAATAAAATTGATTTTTAGATAGCTGAAGAATAATATAGCCTTCAAAGTGGGTTTATATGAACATCAAGATTGTTTTTTTGCATGTTTTATCAGCCTTTTTTTTCCATTTGGCATTCCATATTTTCATATCCATAACTCCATAGGTCCAAAAATTATTGTAGTGTTTTTCAACATAAATTTGACCCCCGAACTTTTCAATTCAATTTTATGGAAAAATGAGGTGAAATGCATATGATTTTTTTATGACCTCTTGATAGACAATGATAGACATGATAGATAAATGTCAATGGTTTCAGAAAAGGTTTCTCTCTAATGGATTGAAATTCTCCTTTGGACCAAATTTTGGGTACTTTTGTGACATTTTCACCCCCCTTTTTGCAATATTTTGTATTAAAAAAATGCAGATTATTGCCACGGTCAGTCAGAGGTACTACTTGTACAAGTAATTTTTATTTACTTGAAGAATTAAATATTAATATACTTATATAAGTAAATTTGTAAGATACTTATACAAAAGTATTTTATTTACTTGTATAGGTAAATTATTTTATTGGCTTAGTTACGTCCCTTAAACATTGAGATTTTTTTTCTTATACAAGTAATAAAGTCATACTATCTTCTTTTCTTGAATTTCTCAGGACTTCTTTGCTCTTATAGAATTTTTAATTTTCTGCCCTTTGCAGATGTCTTTACTAATCATTTCAGTGTAGTTTCATGGACAATGAAAAAGTCTTGAAGTATAGATTTTGTGTACTGACGTTGTTTATCATCTTAATAACGTGTTATAGTATTCTTTTATTTATCTTTATTAATATTACTTTTACTGTTAAGTCTGTTTATTTGAGATATCCATTTGATGTGACTCTGTGCTTATGTATCCCGTCATACTTTGAACGACAAAATTATTTTATTTATTAATATTACTTTTACTGTTGAGTCTGTTTTTTGTGATATACATTTGACGTGACTCTGTACTTATGTATATCGTCATACTTTGTACCACACAATTATTTTATTTTATTTATTAATATTACTTTTACTGTTAAGTCTATTTTGTGTTATATCCATTTTACGTGACTCTGTATTTATGTATCCCCTCATACTTTGAAAGACAAAATTATTTTATGTCTACCTGTGCGATTCTCAAACGCGCGATTTTACGCCAGTACTTAAAACCTTCCATCCTTTATGGGTGGATTTTACATAGATAAATAAAATCGTATAATATAAGCAAAAATGAGGATGTTAAATTTGATGTTAGCCTTTTTGTGCTTCTTCATTACATTTGATTGTTTTTATAGTGATTAAGATGATAACACAATGTTGACTGCTGTACCCCTATTTTTGACATTTTTACCTATTGTGTCTGTTTGTTTTGTTCACGCATCGTTGTCAATATAATGGAATTTGATGCGACTGTCATACAAGTGAGAGGTTTAGCTAGCTATAAAACCAGGTTCAATCCATCATTTTCTACATAAGAAAATGCCTGTACCAAGTCAGGAATATGACAGTTGTTATCCATTCGTTTGATGTGTTTGTTTTTTTGATTTTGCCATTTGATTGGGGACTTACCTTTTTGAATTTTCCTCGGAGTTCAGTATTTTTGTGATTTTACTTTTTTCTCATCTGTCTGTTATTTTCAGAACGCTGCTTATTTACAAGCCCCCAAGGGGCAATTTTTGAAGGCCTTGCGCAATTACTTAAGCTCTTAAATTTGCACAATTAGTTTCTTCGTTGAATTAATGAGATGAAACATTGAACTCTAATCAAAAATTATGAGCTGACCTGAGAAAAATTGTTAAAGGCATGATTTTACATCTCAAAACTTGAGAATTTTAGGGATTGTGAAAAAAATTTACTTATAGAAGTAAATTTTTGAGAAAATTAAGGGGAGATAATTCAAACATTATAAGAAAAAATGAACTTAACAAAATTTACTTATATAAACTTGTATATTATTATTTACTTCTTCAAGTAAATAAAGATTATATATAATTACTTGTACAAGTAGTACCCCTGACTGATGGTTACACCAAAAAGAGATTACATTTCAACATTTTAACTATCATGACTAATGTAAATCAAATCTATGGAAGATACAGTTTCCATACATATTATGCACATACATTACACAAACATTAAGCCTTATTTGTTAAAAAGCAAGGGAAAGAGGGTGGTTTAAAAATTATGAGTGTCAATTTTAAGTTTTTTTTTCTTGAAATTGGAAAATTGATAAGAAATGTATGATGAAAACTAACCACACTTAAGAGGGTAAGTAGCCAGGTGCACATGGCTAAGGTTAATTTTACTTTCACTGATATTTCAATTTGAACTATAAAACTCCCCTTAGCCATGCATGCATGTCTAACCCTCCAAAATTAGGTTAGTTTTCATCATATAGATTTCCTATCAATTTTCAAAAATTCAAAATTATTCCAGATTCAAATATTTCCTTGTTTCAAGGTCTTAGGACAACATACTGACAATCCTCAAAAGCGACAATACCACAACATGAATGACTGTTGTCAGAAACTAGAAATGACAAGAAATGATGATTGCGCCAAGCAATGTATTCGTAATATAATAAATAAGCAAGATCAATAAAACAGTTTCATATATACATGATATATATACAAAGACAATAAACACCACACTACTCCATATGAAATTTGAAAGGGTGAATATTCTATAATTTAATTTAACCTCACCTTATAGAATATACATATAACATGTGACAACTTTATGACAGACATGGTTATACATGGCAAACACCATAATGAATATATATAACTCGTCTCAAATTTAGCCCAACAATATTAGATCTTCAAATTTGCGTTAGCAAATATTTTGTTCTTCCCTCAACGGGATTCGAATCCTTGCTTCTGTGACATAATGGCAACACCGCATGCACCGTGTCCAGTGCCCTAGACCACTCGACCACCTAGGCTACATATATATATAAAACAGGCTATATATATATATTTCTCTGATTCTTACTCGATTTATCCTTTTCCTGACCTGTTGTATATATTTTTTATTTAATCAACGTGTGTGGTTCGTTTGATCTCATGAAAAAAGGCGACCATGCCTGATGACGTCACATAAAAACACATCTTTTTGCAGGTCTTTCGAAAAGAAGGATTTAGATTGTCTTCATATCGTCTAAAATTCATTAGAGAAACAGATTCCTCCACCACATCTCGTGCAGTACGATATTTATCCTCTCTTGACAGTTAAATTTAAAATATTTAAAATGCTCGGCGAGCCTCGTGTTTTAAATTTGAAAATTCAACTGTCTCGAGTGGATAGATATCGTATCACACTCGATGCAGTGGTAGAATCTATATATATAAACCAGGCAAATTATTTGTAGAAAAAAATATCGATTATAAATCAACCAAGTAAGTGATATAATTTAAAAAAAAATTAAATTCACA